CTCCTGTGGCCTGTGCTGCTGCAGGGTAACTTGGGGGGGAGCACCTCCCGGGGTTCGGGCGCTCGGGCCAAGCGGGGCGACAAGCCAGGCCCCAGCCGCACCTTCCGCGTGCGACCTTCGTGGGAGGCCGTGGAGAGGGTGAGGGGTGTGGCTGAGGTCTGGGCAGGATTAAAAGTCCCAGCGCAGCCGCTTGCCAGCTGAGTGGCTGTGGGCAAATTCCTCAACACCTCGATAGTTGGACTTTCTCATCCCTAAAATGGGGACTGAAAGTAGTAATTCCTGCAAAGCCATTTCACAACCCTGGTCCTAGCCCAGGGCGAGCGTCTTAATTTAAATATTCATCTGTGCTGCACTTTGGCTGCGGCTTGACTCACATCAGTGGCAGGAAATGCTCCCAAATTAACAAGAGGAACTGAGTGACTAAGAGGATATAATTCTGTATAACTCAGGCTCTTGAGTTGGCCCCACTGTGTAAGCTAACACGAGTTACTTGTGATTCTCTTTCTGAGGGAAAGCTGTTTGGATCCGTGGTGTTGCTGTGGGGCTGGGACGAGTTGAGTTGATTAAAGCCTCACCTGGCATATAATTATGTGCTCAGTAAACACTGGCTAGTGTTAATAGTGTTATCTGGTCTACCCACTGAGGATCAGACCTGGCTCTCATAAAATGTCTTTTTTTTTTCCCTTTAAATTATAACCTTAAAATGTTTGCTTTGGCGTAGAGGGTAGGTGGAGAAAGGCTGAGAGTTCCCCTTCCAGCATCCACATGGAGGCTCACAACCATCTGAAATTCCAGTCCCAGGGAATTTATTGCCCTCTTCTGGCTTCCACCGGCACATGCAGGCACACAAAAATTACTCGCTGAGTCCTTGTAAACTTGACAGCTGAGTTCCATCTGTGGAACCCACGTAAAGGTGGAAGGACAACCAACTCCACAGTTTTCCTCTACTCTCCACATGCCTGTTATGCCTGCATGCATACACAAGCATTATGCGAACACACAAGTAATATTTTTCTTTTTTTGCTGTTTTGTTTTACGAGATAGGGTTTCTCTGTGTGGCACATAATATTTTTCAAAGGTTTACTGATACATGACTTTCCCATAGGCATTTAAATACATTAAGAAGCATATGGCTAAGCCGGGCAGTGGTGGCACATGCCTGTAATCCCAGCACTTGGGAGGCAGATGCAGGCAGATCTCTGTGAGTTCGAGGCCAGCCTGGTTTACAGAGCGAGTTCCAGGACAGCCAGGGCTACACAGAGAAACCCTGTCTCAAAAACAAAACAAAACAAAAAAGAAGCATAGGGCTACGGAAACAAGTATCCATATGCTGAGCACTGGACTTGGCATACATTGAGGAGTTTGGTGAGCACTTGTGTGTTACATTCTTCCATCCAGCCCTTCCATCCAACTGTGTCAAGTCTATAGATTCTCTGCAGCACAGGCTGACCTCAGATTCTGTTCTGCTGCCTCACCTCTGGCAGTGCCGGGATTACAGGTTAGCACATCACGCCCAGCTCTAGTCCTCTATTCTCTTAGCCCATCTGTCAGGGACTGGGGGCATCTGAAGTCACTTCTCCGTGGAGAGGCACGGGGACAGACGACAGATGGAGCCTCATGTAGACCTTCAGTGTTCTCCAAGGGAGAAATGTAAGCTCCAGAAACTGGAGCAACCAGTCTTTTGTCAGTAGACCTCTAGGGACCTCAGGGCAGACAGGAGACAATTGATATTCATCTTCACCTCATTTTATTGGCTTTTGGGTGCTGCTACTGGGGTGGTAGTCTTTTGTGCCCTTGCCTTTCTCCTGGACAATGTCTGGATAAACAGTTTGGTTCTCAGCTGAGACTGTCCACCCTAGCTGAGCATGTGGGCCTTTTCCCCTGCCTCCTTGGAGACAGTAGTAGGGTCACATGCTGATAAAGTGCCTTGGTCACAACTCCAGCTGTGCCTCTGTTGTAGCAGCTCCAGACTTCTCCCTCCCAACAGACTTGGAAGTCCTACAATGTGGCTACGGCCCACTCCCTGAAAGCCTTCCCATTGTCTGGGGAAGAGACAGCCTGGAAACAAGCAAGTCAAAAGCAAAGCAAGAAGCAAAAGCCCTGTAACAGAAGGCTTGAGCTGGATTTATCAGATGCTTTGTTTCTTTTTTTTTTAAGACAGGGTCTCATGTTTCTCACAGTGGCCTCAAATCTTTCTATGGAACATGTAAGGGTAAATTGAATTTCTGATCCTCTTATCTTCACCTCCTGAGGACTGGGCTGACGTGTGTGTGTGTGTGTGTGTGTGTGTGTTTGTGTGTGTGTGTGTATGTGTGTTCCACATGTATGTGTGGATACCTCTGGAAGCCAGAAGAGGGTTTTGGATCCCCGCCATGTCTGGTTTATGTGGTACTGGAGATGAAATCCAGGCCTTCATAAATGCTAGACAAGCACTCTACCAAATGAACTACATCTGCTGCCCCGAGGGTTTTCCAGAGGGTGAAGATGGAGGAACACAGGAGGAGCCTGCATTCCCAGCCTCTTCTCTACCCTTCGATGATCCCACAGTTACACTGGGAAGTAGTGATTCTGAGAATGCTACAGAGGGAATGTTTTCTAGGGTAGCTAGTGAAAGCAGGCAATGGGGTCATTTAAGGATCTTCCTCCCTTCCTCCCTCCTTTCCTCCCTCCCTCTCTTAAGAATGCACATTCCCCCCACCCCCACCCCAGACCACTGTTCTGAGGAAAGAGAACCTATGGAGGACATGCTTTTTAAAAAGAAATAATAGGGCTTGATTTCAAAAAAATGATTCCTAAGGGTTGGGGTCCAGGAAACCATGCCCAGATGTGGTTTTGACTCTCCCTGGGCTCACCATAATGGGTGTGTGCTAGCTTGCACATCCTTATGGCCACTGTGTACATCCACAAGTTCATTACAGGGCAAGGAAGGACTGCCCACCCACCTTGCAGGGGTGTCTGATGAAGTAAGACAGGCACATCTCTGTACCCAGCCCTCTCTGGGTATCAAAGAGTATGGGAGGCTCTGATTAAGGAAGCATTTTCCTGCTTGATGAAAAAATAATTCAGTTACCAGCCTCTCCCTTTGGTAGATTATACACTATACATAGACATAAAATGGGAAAGTCACTCCTGGACATACCTCAAGTTCTGTGTCCTGTTTAGGGACCGTGGGCCTCCTAGAATTAGTGTTTATAGCCCAGGACCTAACTGATGTCTAATCAACAGTCCATAATAGTCCTGTACAGTTGGATAAGCCTCCACCCATTCACACACCCATTAAACACAATAATAGTAAAATTATGGTGGCTTGTAATTACTGTCATCTGTAAGGGACCCGCCTCACCACTTTCCTTCCTTTTGTCATCATAGACACCATTATGTCATGTCGTCCCCTGCCCTAGCACTAGCAGTCATGGTTCCCATTTCCCTGCTGCAGGACAGGCATACTGTGCAAACAGAACCAGCCAGGCTCTTTCTCCATTGTACTGGAGGCTCTGGAGAGGACATGGTGCTAGGCAGGTGGTAGCTGCAGCTGAGGCCGGGGCAGCAGACCCCTCAGCCCTGCAAGGATTCCATGAGCTGGTCTTGTCTTTCTTGTATCTAGTTGTTCTTTCAGCTCTATGAACTGCCCACTTGCCAAAGTATTCTCCATTGCTTCATTTTGTCCATTTCTTGCAACCAGAGGGTCCAGATAAGCAAGCTTCCTTCTGTAGTCAGTTTCCAAAGGTGGCACTGCTAGACTTGCTTCTCAGGCTTAACCTTGAATCATTTCTCACAACTGGTGTTCACTTGTGTCCCCCTGCTCTGCGGGTCTGCTCGGCGTCCCGTGTTGCTCTGGGGCTCTTCCCTCATCCTGTTTCTCTGGCACCTGTCCCTCATCTTGCTTTTCTGGCTCAGTCACTCTACTTAGCAGAGTAGGTTCTCATTGCATGCTTAGGAATGACAGTGGCTAGTGACCTGTCTGTGGGACAGACATAGGCTGGGCATGGCAGTACACACTAGGAATCTTAGCATGTGGAGGTGGTTCAGAGCTAACCTGGGCTACATGAAACCTCATTTCTAAAGATCAAAGGGGAGGGAAAAAATGATGAGCAAGAGCAAAGGTAGACAGGTGACAGGAAGGACTTCAGGTCACTGTGTTTTTATAGAAGTTTGTACTGAAGGCAAATGACAGGGCTCAGACTAGGACTTCTGACTCCATTTAATGCCACTATGGGTGTGCTTCCCCATCCTGTGTTTTGTAGCTGCCTCCATCTGGCTCATGTCCTGATTCACAGGGCACTAGCCTGCACAGATGACACACAGCTCTGGAGAGCCCTTTCCTACAGTATTTGCTCATGTAGGAATTCACCAGGACGGAGGGGGCACTTAGACAAGCATTCCAGCCAGGAGGTTGGTGAACAGGGGTCAAGTGTATGACTTATGCCTTCTGAACCTGGGGCAGAAATCATTAACCCCATCTAAGTGGAAAACAATGCTCAGGGAAAGACTGCACACTTAGTCAAAATCACATTTTATTTAGTAATATGAAAATCTTTCAGCTTTAAGTATTTGCCAAGTGAGTGGATAGTTAGACATATGTCCTCTGAGAGTGTGTGGACAAGCCCATAGACATTTTTGTGTTAGCATTATTACAACCCTGGCTTTATTAATACTCAAACCTTGAGTAAAATGTTCCCTGAGTGTGACACCCTTTTCCCTAAGGCTGCTTCTCAGACTCCAACAATGACAGGTCTCCGAAACTAAGTATTCACACTGCCTGAGAATGTGGAGTGGGTGTGGCTTGTATCCTTGACCCTCTTAGAGAAGCTCCTATGGGCAGATGGGGTTAGGTATCCTGGCAGTTTCTCTTCAGAGTTCTGTATTTTCACTTGTAAATACCTGGGAGGTAGACATGGTTGCATTAGACGCTGACCTACTCAGGAGGGGTAAAAAACTCTACTTCTTTCTCTTGAATTACATTTCATGCAGAGCCAATGACCTCTGCGGAGGGTGGCACTGTAGTGCTGGCTCCTGGGATTCCCCACAGCGCCACTACCTCTGTGGCTGATGCACAGAGGGACCTGCCCACCACACTGGCAGCAGCTGTTCTCCTTAGGAGGGGGCACCATCTACTGGGAGAGTTGCTTGGGTGTTTCTTGGAAATTAAACAATTCATGGCTCTATTTCATGCCACCATTCTGGCTCACATTCTGAGTTACTGTACTATGCTGTGTCTGTGAGGAAGTGTAAGTATGTTTTTGTATATTCTGGATAACATCACTTTTTAAAGCAAGTATAAGCAGGTTGGGCAGAACCCCTATGGACTCTGGGCCCCAGGTATTGTGGGCTGCTTGTAATCCCAGCACTCAAATTAGCTATAGAGTTAGCCAAGAGTAACCTTCAACTTCTGGTACTTTTGCCGCCCCCTCCCAAGGACTGAGATTACTGGTGTGTGCCACTGTGCTCAGGGTATGTGGCACCGAGGAGTGAAGCCAGGACTTCATGTGTGCTGGGCAAGCACTCCACTGACTGAGCTACATCCCCAGACCTCTGTACCTCTTCCTGAGACTTGGGCGCTGTGATGGTGTTTCCTCCTGGATCCGAACAGAGGTGAGGTTCAGGGCCTTGGTCCTACAAAGGCAACAGTTCTGTCAGTGAGAGATGGCTCAGCTTCCCCAGTCTCCCATGGAAGGTCTTCCGTGCCTTATACTTTCCAAGGGTCATAAGCAATACAAAGGAAACATCTGATACCATCTCCCTGAGCCTGAAGCATGAGGGTAGGCTTTCTTCTGTGTTCTTTTACAGATTGAACAAAATAAATAAATATTTGAAGGGTGTCACGTGATGCTAAGCTATAAGTGGTCAGAGATGAGGAGAGGCAGGAGGCTTAATGGTTTCCTTTGTTTGTCTGTGTGTGTGTGTGTGTGTGTGTGTGTGTGTATGTAAGCACACATATGTATGCATATGCATGTGGAGGCTAGAGATTGATGCTGGGTGTCTCCTTTGTCACTCTCTTAACTTTTTTTCTTATTTTTTAAAATTACATTTTAGTGTGGGTTTTTTTTTTTTTTTTTGTGCATGTGTGTACATGCCATGGTGTGTGGAAATCAGAGGACAACATTTGGGACTGGGGTCTCTCCATCTGCTATGTGATCCTAGGTATCTAGGTCATTAGTCTCAGTGGTAGGCATCTTTACCTGCTAAGCAATCTTGCTGGCCCCTTGCCATATTCCTTGAGGCAGGGTCTCTGAATTTGGAGCTCACTAGTTTGGCTAGATTGGGTGGCCATCAAACACCAGGGCTTTTCCTGTCTCTATTTCCCACATGTCACCAACTGCAGCTTCATGTGGGTGCTGGGATCCAAACTCAGGGGCTGGGAACCAAATTCCCTGGGCTTGTATGGCAAGCACTTACCACTGAGCAATCTTTCCAGCTCCCTTAATGGTTTCAGTAGTTTCAGGAAAGTTAGAAGCCAAGCCATAGACAGCACCGTCAAAGAACCATGTCAGGAAGACCATAGCATTTTAACATTAAAACTGCTTTTTCCTTTGAATGGGGACATAGGTCACTCAGTGGTACTTGCCTAACATGAGTAAGTTCTGAATTTGATTCCATCAACTGAGTAATACACACGCTATAAAACCCTCATTTGAGGGCTGGCGAGATGGCTCAGCAGCTAAAAGCCCAGGTTACTCTTCCAGAGGTCCTGAGTTCAATTCCCAGCTACCACATGGTAGCTCACAACCATCTGTAATGAGATCTGGTGCCCTCTTCTGGCCTGCAGGCATACATGCAGGCAGAACACCGTATACATAATAAAAACAAAACAAAAAAGACACCAAAAACCCGTCCTTTGAAAAACAGATGAAGTCACTAGCCACATAGCTGCTCACAATCTACAGTAACTAGCTCCAGAGGATCTGATAGCCTCTGGCCTCCATGGACACTGGAACTACATGTGGTGCCCAGATACACATGTGGGCAAAATACTCATTCACATAAATAACCTTACAAATTGTTTAAAAGGCTAGCCTGGATTACATGAGACACTATCTGAACAATAATACTAATGATAATAGTTTTGGATCTTCCTTCTTTTCATGTGCTGGGCTCAAGCCCAGAACCTCCATATGCTTAGGTAGTTTTCTACCACTGCACTGTACACACTCTCATTGCTAAGTGCTATTTTTCAAAGTAGAAAAGTGAGACATGGCCATATTTCATCCACTCCAATCCTTGTTCCAACTCTGCTATTTAAAACTGTCTGGTGTCCTGCACCTTCATTACCCCACATAGTGCCATGGAACAGCTTTCTATCTTCCCTGTTGGGGCCTTCAGTGCTTCCTACAGCCCAGGCTGGAGGCACCATCATGCTGGTGACAGATGACAGTGCCTCTGCAGAGTCAGCCGAGAGGAATTTATGTCCTCTTCCTTGTCTCACTTTGTCCTCACTTATGTCCTCTTCTTTGTCCTCACTTCACCAGGTTCTGAAAAAACCTGCAGGTCAAAGTAAATGATGCAGGACATAGCTTCACAACTGCCCACCCTGAATGACAGAGCTCCACAACTGCCCACCTGGATAACAGAGCCCCACATCTGCCCACCTGAGTGACAGCCCCACAACTCTCTGTGTGTGTGCGCGTGTGTGCGTGTGTGCGTGTGTGTGTGTGTGTGTGTGTGTGTGTGTGTGTGTGTGTGGTGTGTGTGTGTGCTCGCTCTCCTGTATAGAGCCAGAAGAAAGTTTCAGGATGCCCTTCTCTATCAACTCAGTGTCTCTCAGAAAACCTCTCCTGCTGTGGAACAATCTTTTTGGACACTGTGAAGATCTGTTGCTCTCGTTGGTTTAATAAAGAGCTAAATGGCCAATTGCTAGGCAGGAAGAAGTTAGGTGGGACTTGCAGACAGGGAGAGAGCTCTCTGGGATGAAGAGGGTGGAGTCACCAGGAGATGCACGGAGAAACAAGATGAACATGCCATGTTGAGAAAAGGTACCAGGTAGAGCATAGATACAAAATATGGGTTAATTGAAGTTATAAGAACTAGTTAGTAACAAGTCTAAGCTATTGACCGAATATTTATAATTAATAAGTTTCTGTGTGGTTACTAGAGTTGGCAGGTGGGACAGAATATTCCGCCTACACTCTTTCTAGACCCAAGTCTCATTGCTTTTAGGTTTGGCTGGAAGTTCCAGGGCTCTTCCTATCGTGCCTCACATCTCCCTGCCCTGGAGCTGGGTCACAGGCCACATCTGATGTGTTGAGACAGGGTCTCACATAGTCCAGAGTGGCTCCAAGCCCACCATATAACTGAGGGTGACCCTGAACTTTTCATCCTACTGCCTTTGCTTCTGTAGTGCTGGGATTATAGTCCTGTGCCACCATGTCTGGTTAATGGAGTGCTAGGTATCAAACCTGGGGTTTATGTATGCCAGGTAAGCATCTAACTTAGCTAGACACCAAATCACTGTTTACTGTCTTAACCCATCTTCCAGAAAAGTGCCTGGAACACAGTATATATGGGCTTGCCTGGTGACTGCAGTTGGTGAGTGAATCCTAGTGTTGTCTGGTCAGTCATGTCTTGTGACCTTCTCTACAATGCACCTGACCACAGACCACTGCTCAACATCAAAGAAGAAAATTATTTTTTTCAAGGCAGTCCGCCCTATGCTGTTTCCCTGAGAGGCTTTATGCACCTCCCTTTCCATAACATTTTTTTCTTAATTCTTTTTCTCATCCTCATTGCTTGCTTGCTTGGACTTTTTGAGGCAGTGTCTTATTATATGTAATAATCTGGCCTTGAACTCTGAATGGTATCATGTCGGGATGATTTTAGGAAGTCAATTCTCTCCCTCCACAGTGGGTCCCAGGGATTAAACTCAAGCTTTCACAGCAAGCACTTCTACCTACCATCTTGTCAGCCAGTTAGTTCTCCCTTTATTACGATAAGTTTCCCATATGATTTGAATATGGGCCTGCAGAGATAGCTCAATAATTAAGAGCACTGGCTGCTCTTCCAGAGAACCAACGTTTGACTCTCAGCAACCACATGGCAGCTCACAACTGTCTGTTACTCCAGTTCCAGGGGAGCCACTGCCCTCTCTGGTACCAGGCACACACAAGCAGTATACAGACTTACATGCAAGCAAAACTCTCTCTCTCTCTCTCTCTCTATATATATATATATATATATATATATGTGTGTGTGTGTGTGTGTAAATAGAAAAAACCCAATAACTTTAATATAACATAACCTGACTTCCATAACCCTAATAGAACTCTTTGCTTTTCCGTGATCAGCATCTCACCTTTTTCTTACCTGTCCCCTCACCTTTCAAAGGCCATCCCTATAGGTATGGTAGCACACGCCTGTAGTCATGGGACTTGGAAGGCAGAGGCAGGAAGACTGCTGCAAATTCAGGGTTAGCCTGATCTCTATAAGTGAGTTTCAGACCAATCAGAGCTTTGTAGTGAGACTCTGTTTCCACATCTTTTCTTTATGAGTTCTATACATTCCTGCTTTTAGGTCCTTGTCATCAAAGAAGATACGTCCTGAAAATCTGCTGCCCTCTTCTTCGGCTTATTTACCATAGGCAAGAATTATAAACTGTCGACTGTCTCCTGTCCCTATTGAAAAATAATGGGGATGGTGGCACATCTTTTAATCCCAGTACTGGCAAGATCAGGCAGTGGACAGGGCTCAAGGTCACCTGAGCTATACAGCAAGTCTGAGGCCAGGCTACATGAGACCCAGTGTCAAAGGTGAGGGGGAGGCTGCAAGATAACTTACTGAGTAGAGGCGCTTGCTGCCTGCCAAACCTGATGGTCTCAGTTCAATCCCCAGAAGCCACATAATAGAAGGATTCTACAGATTCCTGAGACTGGTCCTCTGGTCTCCACATGCAAGCCATGATGCCCATGTAACACATATTCACAGGCACACACATCCAAGTCATGATGCATGTGCGCCAACACACATTCACAGGTGCACACATCTAAGCCATGACACAAGTGTGCCAACACACATTTACATGTACAATAAAGAAATAAATATTTGTTTTTAAAAAGGTGAGGAGAGAGAACTGGGCATGGTGGTTTGCACTTGTAACCCCAGGACTCCGGAGGAGATGCAGGTAAATTTCCTATCAGTTGTCTGGTCTACATAGTGAGTTCTAGACCAAGCAAGACCCTGCCTCAAACAAAACAAAACAAAACAGACAAAAAAATTCAAAACAATTTTAGATTTTAAGAAAAAGTGCCCAAGGGTGTTGTTGGGTGGTTTTTGTTGTGTGTCTGCACTGAGGATACATCTAGCACCTGTGCACACCAGACAAACACTCGGACACTCTACAGACTAACCTGTATTCCCAGTCCGTCTAGGAGAAACCTGGAGACCCTGAAATCCTTACTTTTCTTGGCTGTGGAGCATTCTGACTACAGCAAAGGAAAGACCCAACAGAGCCAGGCACAGGGGTGGACACAGTGGTGGACATGGTGGTGGACACTGTACAGTAGTGCCTGGGAAGCAAAGCATTTGAAGCCTGCCTGTTCTACATAGTGAGCTCCAGAGTTCTAGCTCCAGAATGCCAGGGCTATGTAGTGAGTCTCTGTCTTAAGAAAACAAAACAGTCGAGCATTGGTGGCACACGCCTTTAATCCCAGCACTCGGGAGGCAGAGGCAGGTGGATCTCTGTGAGTTCGAGGCCAGCCTGGTCTCCAGAGCGAGTGCCAGGATAGGCTCCAAAGCTACACAGAGAAACCCTGTCTCAAAAAAAAAAAAAAAGAAAGAAAGAAAGAAAGAAAACAAAACACACGGGGCTAGAGAGATAGCTCAGCAGTCAAGAGCACTCACTGCTCTTCCAGAGAACACGGGTTTAATTCCCAGCAACCACATGGCAGTTTACAACTGCCTGTGATTCCAAGATCTGACACCTTCACACATACTTGCAGACAAAACACCAGTGCACATAAAATAAAAGTAAATAAAAAATTATAAAAAACAAAACATAAAACAAACAAAAAGCAGCTCTCTCAAAGAAGCTGACACCTGTGTTCTGGGGCATTCTTAACTGAGTGTCCCTCTTTCTTAAACTTCATGCTTAAGCCAATATTTTTATTAAAGCTGGGCTCAGTGGCGCAAGTGTTTAATCCCAACACTCAAGAGGAAAGGCAGGCAAATCTCTGTGAGTTCAAGGCCATCTTGGTCTAAACAAGTTCTAGGACACTTATCTCCAAAAACTAAAATTAAAAAAAAAAAAAATTAAAAAGCCAAACCAAATAAAATAGAAAAAGGCCCAACCAGAGCCTCACTTGCCTGGACGGTGCTCACAGTGGAGGAGGCACATGGCTCTTCTGGGCCCGGGCTGCCAGCGCTTTCCTTTTCTGAGGCCTCTGGGGTTCTCAGAGGCTTCTCAGGTGCTTCTGGACTGGAAGAGGCTTCTGAGAAGGCCCTGGGACTTCGGGGTGAACCTTCTCCAGAGGCTGGAAGACTACTGGGCCTACTGCCTGAAGCAAGCCTGGGGCTCGAAGGGGCTTTGGGTGGTGGAGGCCGACTAGGGGGTGCTGATGCCCTCTGGATAGAGGCTCCTTTTTTGGTCTGCTCTGCTCCTTCACTCGAGGTGCGGGTGCGGAGGAATACTTCTGGTGGGGAAGGCTGCTCCACTGGGGTCTGACCTCTGCTCAGGGATGGAGCCGCGGAGCACAGGGCAGCTCCCTCCTGGGATGCAGGAGAGGGTGGGGCCTGGGTGGGCCCGTTCCAGGCTAGTAGAGGCTCTTCTTCCTCTGAAGAACTTGCTTCAGACTGGCCGTCCTCCACTTCCTCATCTCTTAAGGACTCCTTGCTGTCACTGCTGTCCTCTCCATCTGCAGTGTCGGAGGTCAGCGCTTTTCTGGTTGCTGAGACAGACTCACTCTCACTGGTCACAGAGAGAGCCGAGGGGCTGGTAGGTGAGGTCACAGGGGTGGAGGCTGTTGAGGTTCGAACCGGGGGAGAGATGACTAAGGAGCGCCTGCTGCTGCTGTGGAAGGAAGGACATTCAGGGGGAGCAATCATATGCCAAGGGACACTTACAGTATGAAGAACTCATGAATGGAAAAGATAGAACATACAAAAGTGACAGAAGAAGTCAAGACAGACAGGGAAAGAGATTTACAATGTGTGTAATTACAGGACTGGAATTCAGAATATACCAACAAAAACCTGAGGTAAATCACCTCTTCACAGAGGGTTAAATAGTTGAAAAGCAGGAAAAGGATCAACAGGGGTGTCACAGAGCAGGAACCGTGAGCTCTCCTGCAGCACCAAAGACCATTCAATAGAGCTAGTAATCTGGAACCACAAAGCATAAGTCAAAGAATACCAGGGACACAAGAGAGGTTGCAATGAAGGAGGAACTAAGAGACCCAGTAAGGAGGAAAGACCACCTTGAGCAACTGGTGAGACCCCCCATTTCAAAAATTTGCAGAAAATATAGACAGAAGAAGTCCATTTATATAAAGTTTCAAAATGAGGGCTAGCAAGATGACTCTGAGGCTAAAGGCTCTTACTGTCATGCCTGACAGCTGTTGTAACCAGGCACAGTGGCACACTCCTAGCTCTTGGGAGGCAAAGCCAAGATAGTCATAAATTTGAGACTATCCTGGCCACATGGCGATACAGTTTCAGGCTAGCCTATACTACAGAGTGAGACCTTGTTATGGGGAATAGGGGGTGGAAAGAGGAGGACCACTATAGACAAAGCCGAGTCACCCAGTGTCTCTCCTCACTCATTCTTTTCCCACCTCTACCCAAGATGACCACTGTCTTAAACCCAGGACTTGCTGTTTCTATGCACATGTCATTTATTTCATAATATATTCACATATGAGATATTTGCATATTTTAAAATTTTATTGCATTTATTTGTGTGTGTGTGTGTGTGTGCGTGCATGAGAGAGAGAGAGAGAGAGAAAGAGAGAGAGAGAGCGCAAACACCACGGAAGTACATGTAGAGGTCATAGGACAACTTGTAGAAATTGGTTCTCTTTTTCTACCCTGTGAGATCAGGATCAAACTCAAGCTAGGCGTGTGCCACTGTGTCTGGTTACAACAGCTGATTGCCTAAGGTTGGTGGTAGGTATATGACTAATTGTTTTTTTCATCTTTAATTATACCTGAAATATTTGATGAAAAGAAAAATTATTTCCATGGGGGCACAGGGTAAACTGCAATGACCAAGAGCAAAAAGGCAGGGCCTGTCGTGAGGTAGGGATGAAGTTGCTGAAGCTGTGCCCACAGGGCACAAGACAAGCAGTGTCTCACTGGCTCACCTTGACAGTCCCTTCACCACAAAGACTTTGTTAGAATGCTGCTTCTCCAGTTTGCTCATCACTTCATAGAGAGTGTGGTTCAGCTAGAGCCAGGAAGAAAGCAGAAGCTGACAAATGGGAGTCCATGGCCATTCCCTCCCCAGTCAGCTTTCCCAAACAAAACCTCCTGGTCCTTGTACCACACCCTCATCTCTCCAGCACTGCCACCATCTGGCCTCACCCTACTCCCTTCCTCCTTGGTTCATTATGCCCCGAGGGCAGCAAAGGCAGCTTTCTCAAGGCACGGGGTGGGGTTTGACTTGAGGTTGTCACTTGTCTCGTGATGCAAGGAATAAAAGCTCATGTTAACATTAACTAAGCAAGTCAAGTTAGCAGTGAACTGTGGGAAGGAACCTGTGGCTATCTGTGAGTATAACATGAAACAGCAGAGAATCCTGTAATTTCACAGCAGAAAAGACCTCACAAGGTAGCGTTCATGGCTGCCTGTCACCGCCACTGGTCCTCCTCTAGTGCATCCACTCAAAAAATGGCCTGTGTTTGAACACCACTCCCCCCACTCTGAAGCAGCACCTGGGGCTTCACCACCTTGCTCTCAGGTCAATTACTCATGCTGGAGCTCTGGTTCGGCCAGTTACGGGAGATGGAGAAGACACTCTGATAGTGTGCACAGATGTGCATCTTAATAGCATTCAACACAATCACTTCATCAGGGGATAAAAGTCAACTCTGTGCTCCCTGTCTAAAGACACTGTGTGAACAAGGCCCACCATGGATCCCCCTGAGAATCCCACTGAGGCGTCTCTCACCTTGCTCATCTCTCTGTAGAACACATCTCTCAAGTTAGAGATGTTTTGGAAGACGGTCACATAACAGCCAATACGACTACGGGGAAAGAAACAAGCATGGGGTAAGAGCGGCAGGGGGCCCAGATAGCCACCAACAAGGCTCACCAGAGAAAGGCATCTGGTGTCCAGATGCTGATGATCTGGAATGTGACTCATGGCAGATGGGCCATGAGTACAGAAAAGTGAGGGAGACAATATTAGCACAGGCTGACATGGAAGCTGTCTGGCTGGATGTGGTGGGACATGCCAATGACTGGGAGGCAGAGGCAGGTGGATAGTTTTCTGAGTTTGAGATCAGCCTGATCTACAGAGTGAGTTCCATGACAGCCAGGGCTACATAGTGAGACCCTGGGTTTTTTTTGTTTGTTTGTTTTTTGTTTTTAAATCTGTTTTGGGCTTCTGAAGTGTTAATACAGAAACTGCTTTGCAGAATTTTTAAGAGCTGTAAAAATATAAGGCTGTATAATTATAATAAGGAGCAATTCTTTTTCTTTCAGCAATACATGAATTCTATGTGTGTATACCTCAACAGAATTCCCTAAAAATGGATATGGAAAGTTTATATCTGTGACAAAACAAGACAATGCAGAGCTTCCTCCATCTTGTATTCTTGCTGGGGCCATTTCAGGTTTAATTAGAATCCGGTCTCCTTGATTGAGAATCCCATGGAAAACTATACAACTCTAGTCCGGGACCTGAGGTCAGGATGTCCTAGCTAACTTACCTTAGCCTGTCTGTGTGGAAACCCCTCCAGCTGACTGTTTCTATTAAACTGCTTGCTTCTGTGACACCCCCACCCCTAGCATCTGCTGAGCAAGATGCCAGAACACAGTTTCTACCTTCAAAACCCCATATTCTGGATACTCAGGGTCACCCTTTAGTCCCCTAATACCTGAGTGTGGCCCCAGCCGGCTGGAATAAAGGCTTTCAATTGGCTCACCTGAGTTGTCCTCTCTGGTGGGCTCCCCATAACACTGAGAAATAAACTGTTTCTACTCTATTTAACTTTGGAGTCATGTGGGGCGTGATGGCACACTCCTTCAATCCCAGCACTTGGGAGGCAGAGGGCAGGCAGACATCTGTGAATTTGAGGCCAGCCTGGTCTAAAAAGTGAGTCCCAGGACAGCCAGGGCTGTTGTATAGAGAAACCCTGTCTTGAAGTCACATAAATGCAGTCAATAAAAAACAAAACAAAACAAAACAAAAAAACTGTATGCTAACAGCATGGTGACGATGCCTATAATCCTGGCCCTTGGGAAGTCCAGACAGGAGGATCAAAAGTCTAAGGCCAGCCTGGGCTACAAAACTAGACCTGACTTAAGAAAGGCTATAGACAAACTAAGCAATAAAACAGTTCTGCTTCAATCTTACAAAAGTGGACTTGGTGCAATGAAAATAAGATACTATGGAAGCTTTAAATCTAAAACACTTTTGTCTACCATGAAGTGCTGGCACTTTTGTTAGTGGGGATCACCTTCCCAGGGTCTATGTGAATCTGAATGCCTGTGAACCATGGTGACTTAAACAATACACAATTGCGCAATGAAATTTGGATGACAAAGCACTTCACTAGACAAGATCTCTCCTACCCAACAAATACCTTGTCCTCAAACCCAGAAAAGCTGGTGGGGCAAGGATGGCTCTCTGTGTCACAAGTCTAGAGAGATAAGGATGCTTGCCTAATCACACAGCCAATTAGTGGCAGGGCTGAGGCTACATCCATGCCCCACTATTGCATGCCATACTTGGACTACCGGTGGCTCTGCGCTCCACTAGCCTAAGCAGTGGCCCGCCCTGAAATCAGTCATTACCTATTATAGAGAACAGGCAGCTCCTCCAGCAGTTCCTGGTTCAGATCTTCAAACACACCCTGGGCTTTGCTGAACTCTTCTTCTGCCTGGGTGACAGAACGAGAGGTAGAGGCTGCCTTTGTCACCCTCACCGCCTCTTCTCTCCCTGCCCAGACCGGAGTCCTCCTCAGCCTTAGGACTCTGACTGCCCTCATGGTAACAAGGCAAAAGAAAATAAATTTTTCAGGACACAGGAATCTGTTATTCCTGCACTTGCCCTTCATTCCCCCAGTGGTGGCAGGTTTTTTGTTTGTTTTTACCTTGGCAGTCTTAGCCTCATCTTTCTTCTTAGCATTCTGCACAGCCTCCAGGTGGTGTCGGGCACTATCATAGTCTACCAGTTTCCGGCCCCGCTTGGCAATTCTCTCCTAGCCCAGGGTGATGAGAAAGGGGATAGATGTGACTCACTTTCCAGTGGCCAAGAAACTAGATTCCTGAATTTTACCACTGAGTTGTATAACTAGGCTCCCTCATGATGTCAGGAAAGCAGGGATTCTCAGGTAGAGAAATCTGTATTAAGATTTTTGTTTTTATTTTTTTTTAAATTTTTTATGTGTGTGTATGTATGCTTTGTGAAGCCTGATGCACCATTTGCTCATCCCAGGTTACAGACAGTTTGAGCTGCCACATGAGCTTTTCTACTTAGGAAGAGCTAAAGTGGTTTTCTGTAACTTACAAAGGAGATGGGCCAGAAACAGCAGAGGATTTTTGTTTTTAATTTTAAATGAATTTTGTTTTGTTTTTTGAAACAGGGTTTCTCTATGTAGCTTTGGAGCCTGTCCTGGAACTCACTTTGTAGACCAGGCTGGCCTCAATCTCACAGAGATCCAACTGTCTCTGCCTCCCGAGTGCTGAGACTAAAGGTGTGCACCACCACCACCACTGCCCGGTTAAGAAATCTGTATTAAGATTTAAATTTTCCTGCAAGTCTGTTATAAACTGGTCCAGCTTCCAGGAGAAACAACCATGAGAAACCCACTAAACTGAAAATCAGGATTCTGGGTTTTAGTCCTCTCTGTACCACTTACTAGCCTTGTGGCCTAGGGTAGGGGACATCTCTTTTTGAACCTTGGTAGCCTCATCAACCCTACACTAGCATTTCTTTAAAGACCAGATGCTGAGCATAAAGCACTCTAAGAGCTCTAAGCACACAGAAATTATAAATTGCTATAAGCAGTGAGAGTTTATGCAGTCTCATTGAAACTACCAGCTGTACTGGGGGGAGCGGACCCCAGCCTGCCCAGCTCATCTGTCAGAATTGGAAGAGATCTGTGATCTTCTTCTACAGCTTCCTCACCCGTTTCAGTATGGGGTTGCATGAAGTGCCTCTGATGAGAAGTAACTCAAGGGTCTAGAGAGACAGCTCAGCTACTAACAGCACTCACTGGCTGCTCTTGCAGAGGACCTGGGTCCAGTTCCCAGCACCCAATCAGAAGGCTCACAGCCACCTCTAACTCCAGTTCTAGGAGATCCGATGCCTTTTTCTAGTGTGCAGGGCCCGTGCACTCGTGTCACAAAATAAGTAAAGGAATCTTTCAAAAAGGAGGAAGCTAGGTGTGGTGGTGCATAACTTTAATTCCAGCACTTGGAAAGCAGAAGCAGGTAGATCTCTGTGAGTTCAAGGCCAGCCTGGGCTACTCTGCTGGCTACTTTTAGGTCAACTTGACACAAGCTAGAGTCATCTGAAATGAGGAACCTCAACTGAGAAAATGCCTCTATAAGATCTGGCTGTACTGCATTTTCTTAATTAGTGATCCATAGAGGAAGACCCAGCCTATTGGAGCCATCCTTGGGCTGGTGGCCCTAGGTTCTATAAGAAAACAGGCTGAGCAAGCCATGAGGAACAAGGCAGTGAGCAGCACCCTCCATGGCCTTTGCATCAGCTCCTGCCCTGCTTGAGTTCCTGTCCTGAATTCTTTGGGGGATGAACTGTGATGTGGAAGTGTAAGCCAAATAAACCCTTTCCTTCCCAAGTGGCTTTTAGTCATAATGTTCATCATAGCTATAGTAATCCCAACTAAGACAGCTACATAGTAAGACTCTGTCTCAAACAAACAAGAAAACCAGTGATGTAATTCAACTTCTGCTTGGACACAGAACAGAAAATTATCTCAGAGTGTATTTCATCTTTTTTGAAAAGCTTAAGCTTAAAAGTTAAGCTTAATCATTAACATCAATTTGGAAGCCTATGTCAGCTTCCTCACAATCTACAAGCAGCACAGTGCCAGCAGAGTAGATGATTAATAAACTTAGTGGAGTAAATAAAAAAAATCCTACTTCTGAAGCCAGAGAGATGTGTCACTCCTACAGGTGCTGGCCTCCAACCTTGACAGCCTGAGTCACATCTCACAGTGTGGCAGACGAGAGGCTGACTCCTAAAGCTGTCCTCTGACCGACCCTGTTGTGCTGTTGTACACACACACACACACACACACACACACACACACACACACACAGCAAATAAATGAATATAATAAACTTTTTAGAGCAGCTGAAGAGATGGCTCAGAAATTAAGAGCAAAAACTGGTCCCCAGAGGATCCAGGTTTGGCTCCCTGCACCCATATCAGGTGGCTAACAAGCACCAGGGGATCCAGTGCCATCTTCTGGCTTTTGTGGGCACTCACAGACACAAATACATATAAATAAAATTAATAGAAAATATTTTAAAAGTTTAGTTGTGGTTTGGTGGGTTTTTATTATTGTTGTTGTTTTTTTGTTTTTTTGTTTTTTTCAAGACAGGGTTTCTTTGTGTAACAGCCCCGACTGTCATTGAACTCACTCTGTAGACCAGCCTGGCCTCAAACTCACAGAGATCTGCCTGTCTCTGCCTCCCAAGTGCTGGGACTATGGCGTGCAACACCACTGACCAGCATATATTTTTAAGTAATTAAATTTTTAAAAAAAGTTTAATTCTGCTTTATAGAACACTTTGGAAGGGACTGGGTTCTTTGCACCTGGAAGATTTCCAAGTATCTGAAGATAATATTAAGATGCTTCTGAGTTTCTTCTATACTATGGGAATCTTTAACTTCATTAGCTGTGTCTTACATCTAAAAGGGATGCCTACCCAGGCATAGTGACACACACCTGTAATCTGAGAACCCAGAAGGCTGAGACAGGAGTATGGCAAGCTTCTGGCCATTCTAGACTACATAGCAACACCCCGTTTAAAGAAAATAAAGGAAATGGACGATTTGGGGTTGGAGAGACGGTTCAGCAGTTAGGAGGGCATTCTGTTCTTCCAGAGGACCAAGTTCAGTTTCCTGCACCCATATCAGGCGCTCACAACCACCTGTACCTTTAGCTCCAGAGATTCAATATCTTTGACTTCCAGGGTACTGTACCCATGTGCACATGCTCCACTCAAACACTCACACACATAACTGAATGTAATAAAAATAAATCTTAAGGTTAAAAAAAAAGAGACAGATGCCTTGATCTAGTTGGATCTGGTTCACTTATCAGTTGAGCCCAAGTATAAACAACCTCACAGCACCTCTGCCATCCTGACCTCTTATCTAACCCTCTCCCAGCTCCGTAGGCTCAAGTGCTTCTTATAATGTAAACCTGATGTGTTTTCTAACTACTGTGGACTTTCTCTAACCCTGCCCCACTCAACAGACTGAGTTACCTTCACCTCGTTGAACTGGGCCACATAGTTTTCCATGGTCCTCAAAGCCTGGTCGGCCAGTTTCTCTTCATAGTCTTCCCAAAGGAGATCATTGTTCTGTGGGATTCAGGCATAGGGTGGTGAGTGCCCTACTTCTACAACCGTCCACCAGAGAAGCACCCAGACACTCTACTGGCACAGAACTCTTCTGTAACACCATAGTTAGAATATCACTAGAATATCACGGCAGGTTCTCAAGAAGAGAGATGAGCTCCACTTAAGGAACTGCATTTGGGAGTTTGTGTGTGCGTGCGTGCGTGCGTGCGTGCGTGCGTGCGTGCGTGCGTGCGTGCGTGCGTGCGTGCGTGCGTGTGTGTGTGTGTGTGTAAAGAAACAGGAACACAGGGCCCCTGGGCCCCAAGCTTAGCGTGAATGGGAGAGAGTGAACTGCATGTGGTTGTTTTTCATAAACAACCTGTCTTCAAGGACGTTTCTGTGACCTATAGGAGGGGACATTTCTATGACCTATAGGAGGGGACGTTTCTGTGACCTATAGGAGGGAACAAGGTAGAGCCAGCTGTTGCTTAGAGATGGAGGCTCTGCAACAGAGAGTGAACTAGTCCTGTTTTCCAGGATACAGAAGCTCAGCTGAGAGGAGATGGGAACACCTCCCAAGGCAGGGTCATGCCCGAGCTGCCCTTACCGCTGCGATGGACTTCAGCTCCTCGTGTCCATCCCAGTCATTGCTGTAGACCTCCTGCAGGGTCTCTGACACTCTCCTTGAACTTTCATGCATCACTGAAAAGAGAGAACTCAGTTCTTTCACAAAGTGTCTCAAAAAGCAGGCAATGTCATCACACAGTGACAACTCAGAAAGATGGGTTCGAAGTAAGAGAAGCTGTGTGGGGCTGAGATAGGAAGTCACTCAGAGGCTCATGGAGTCCAGGCCAGCTGAGCACTGAGAACCCTGGGTCAGGCTGTTCTGCCCACCTCAGCGTGCCCAACTCTTGCACCCCCCCAGGCTGGATACCCACCTTTGACTGCACTAAGGAAGTTCTTCAGGTCCTTGTACAGCTTGTGGCCTTCTGCCTGGAAGCAAAGAGCAGCTTTGGTCACTAACAAGATCCTTTTGGAAGGTGCTCCAGAGGTCAGCCTTGGAAAGTACAGTAAAGACAGAGCTCATGCCTGGAATTCTGAAGGAATTCCCAGTGACCAGAGCTGCTGTCACTCTGCCAACAAGCTGCAGGTCGTCTCTTTGGGGTCAATGTATGAGTTGGGATAGTGGAAACCCCTACTGCATATCTCTGCCATCGGCTTTCTTTCTTCCAGTGCATCAGAGCCTATACCCAAGTCCTGGAATGAGGGCCCCGTATGTGGCTGTTTGTGTGATCCTCCCTGCCATGGGTACAACAGGCTCCTTTCCTCTCTGAACCTTCACACAGACATTTCCTGCCTCCCAGGCAGTCTTCCTTCATTTGCCTGACTCCACTCCACCCTCCCCTCCCCCAGTCACCTGCTCCTACTCCAGGGAGCCCATCTGCCACTTCCCTTACGTCCAGCCCTGCACCTACCTTTGCTCTCTCTCTCTCTCTCTCTCTCTCTCTCTCTCTCTCTCTCCCCTTGCCCCATTTCTTCTCTCCTCCTCTCATCTCTGTCTCTTTCTTTAAAAAAAGGGGAGCCAGAGTAGGGAGTTGGAATTAGAGCTCAGCCTAATGAATAGCCAGGCAGTGGTGGCACACACCTTTAACCCCAGCACTCAGGAGACAGAGGCAGGTTGACCTCTGAGTTCGAGGCCAACCTGGTCTCCACAGCAAACAAAACAAGTGTTGAGATTACAGATGTGCTTCGGCACTATATCCAGGTTGTTTTTAATATGATTCTGGATATTGCCCTCCTGTCACTCTCTTCTCTCCTGTGTGGGTAAACTCCAGTTTCTAGGATTGGTGTGGAGAGGAAGTGAAAAGCCAGGTGACTGACATTTGAAGCCTGACTTCAGGAGAGTGGGAGAGAACTAAGGTGTGGTCCACTTCAAAGGTATGCTGCAGGCCAACTTGTGGATCAGAACAAACCAGCTCAGGGAACAGAGCATTTGAAACCTAAAAGATGTTATGCAGCACACCAGGAAATACTTGCTGTGAACTTGTACATTACTAGAAAGGCTAGTGAACTTTTAATTAAAAGATAAAGGAAAAAAAGAAAATTCTACCTAATAACTTATGGAAGTCAGAGGACAATGGCAGAGGTTGGTCCCCTCTGTCATGTGGGTTCTGGTGACTGAATTTACATCATCAAACTTGACAGCACGTGCCTTTACCCACGGAGCCATCCTGCCAGCTCAATAACCAAGATTTTAAGGACTTTGAAAGAGTTTATGAAGTTATAAAAATTAATAAAAGGGCTAGAGATAGCTCAACATTTAAAATCAGTTGCTGCTCTTGCAGAGGGCCAGAGTTCAATTCCCAGTACCCACCTGTAACTCCGACTCCAGGGAAGCAACACCTTCTCCTGGACACCTGAACATACATGTGCATGCTCATAGACACACATGCATACACATAAATAAAAATAAAAGTCTGTCAGGCGGTGGTGGCACATACCTTTGACCTCAGCACTCGGGAGGCAGAGATAGGCATTCTCTGTGAGTTTGAGGCCAGCCTGACTACAGAGTGAGTTCCAGGACAGCCAGGGCTTTTGCACAGAGAAACCTTGCCTCAAAAAACAAACAAACACACATTTTAATGAAGATTTAACATTCTGTTTGAAAGAAAACAATATGGACTTCTTTTCACTTCATCATGAAAACTTGATTTCAAAACAATTTGAATAATAAGAACAGTTCAACTGGGCTGACCAGATAGCTCAGTGGTTAGATAAAGAGCCTGTACTGTTCTTCCAGAGGACCTGTGTTCAGTTCACAGCTCCCAGTGCAGGCAGCTCAGTTTCCTAATACTCCAGCTCCTGGGCATCTACAGCCCCTTCTGTCCTCCCCAGGAACTCACCAGTGGGTGGCAGGTCTGGTCATGGACTGTTGTGAGCTGCCTGGCATGGTATGAATGATGGGAATGGAACCTGGGTGTTCTACGAGGGCAGCACATACTCTTAACAACTGAGCCATCTCTCCAGCCCCACATACCATTCTTTCTTTACACCCTTGTTCTTTTTTGAAGAGATAAAGGATGAGAGTGGACATGGAAGTGGTAATTGTGGTAGAGGTGGGCCTGGCTATCCTCCCCTGAAATGTCTAGGCTAGTTAACCCAGCACCTGTTTTCCTGAGGCCAGGCTCTCACTTGGCTGGTTGTCTGGTGTGCTGGCTCTGTTCTCAACTAGCAGAGTTGTTAGTTGCTTCTACATCTACCTATACAGCTACAGAAAACACAGAGCCCAGAACACATTCAACAGCCAACAAAAAACTGTTCTCCCCTGGCTTCACTTCCCTCATCTATAAATACAGGGTCAAGCCACTTCTATCTCCAGATCTGCTGATCTCATCATTTCTGCCCTCTGAAACTTTGCCAATTTCTTGGCATTGCCCTAGAGAGCCTGAGTTAGTTCTTTCCACCCCCTATACAAACAGCCCCACTCTCAGTAAATGAACTGCTCATTCTCTGCGGAAGCTTGGTCAGAGCAGTCAGCTATGCAGAACTGGGCCCCAGAAGACTCAGGGACTGTGAGTTGAAGGTCCTGGTTGAGGGCTCCCAGACACTCAGCAGAGATGGCACAACCAAACCTTGAGCAAGTGCTGTGGGTACCACAAGGAAAACACTGCCATGCTTCCTGAGGAAAAACACCTCTTCCTGTGTAAAGAGAGGCCAGGCAGAGGCAAGGAGAGTCTCATAGAAACAATACTTATACAGGGCATGTGATGGAGCATGCATTCCCCGTGTGCACACAGCCCAGGGTTTGACCCCAGCAGCAGATTAACAGACTGTGGGGGTTCACACATATAATACCAGAAGCCAGGATGTGGAAGTAAGAGGATCATAAATTCAAGACCATCCTCAGCGGTACACTGAGTTCAAGGACAGCAGGGGCTTCATAAGATACTGTCTCAAAACAAAACGATGGAGATCACTCCAGAACCCAGGCAAGTGTGGAGATATTAGAGGAGCTGTACAGCTGGGAGTGACAGCTGATATGGAGTTCAGATGGATGGGGGGGATGAAATGATCAAAATACAGTATATACATGTGTGAGATTGTCAGAGAATAAGTTTTATATGTTGAAAATAAAGAGCTGATTCTTTTGCCAGTAATGACTCCTAACTGTTCATATCCCACGTGGAAGGAGACAAGAAGACACGATGTGACTCCTCATGGTAGAATTTAATGACACCTATGAATATTATTGCCACCAAACAAAAATGAAAACCTAAGTCTAATCAAGCTTCTACATCTACCTATACAGCCACAGAAAACACAGAGCACAGAACACATTCAACAGCCAACAAAAAACTGGGTATGGTGGCCATGCCTTTAATCCAGCACTCTGGAGGCAGAGGTGGGCAGATCTCCAGAGTTTGAGGCCAGCCTGGTCTACAAAGTGAGTTCCAGGACAGCCAGGGCTATGGAGAGACACCCTGTCTCAAAAAACAAAATGAAACAAAACCACAACAACAACAACAACAACAAACCCAAAACAACAACAAAACAGCGAGTAAAATATAAGCTGAAGTGACTGTGGACAAGCTGTGCTCTCAACAAACAAGCCTCAGGAAGTGGGGCTATAGGGACGCTCAGGGGAAAGAGCACTGGCTGCTCTTCCTGAGGAACCAGGTTCCATTCCTAGCACTCAGCCTGGCATACACAATAATTTCCAGGCCAACCAGAGTCAAATAACTGAGAAGATTTTGTTATAATGCAACCCTAGGAAGATACAACTATAAAATAATCATTTTAGAAACTACACACTTAATTATAATAGATATATTTAAGACATATATCACAACAATTGTAGGATATGAAACAAGAATGGATATAGCCTACAGAATCATGATTGTTTTGAAAATCATTCTCTTTGTGTGTGTGTGTGTGTGTGTGTGTGTGTGTGTGTACACATGTGGGCAGGCCAGAGCCAAGGAAAACATGGAGATCAAAGGACAGTTTGTAGGAATCAGTTCCCTGCCTCCACCCTGTAGGCTTCAGGGTTGAATCTTGAATCTCTCCAGCTTTATTTATTTATTTATTTATTTATTTATTTAGTATCTCAGTCTGATCTTGAACTGTGACCTTCCTGCTTCAGCCTTTTCAGTGTTGAGATTATAAGTATGAGTGACCATTCCTGTTCCCTTTTCTTTTTTTCTGAATATACTTTCTGATCCAGTCATGAATATATATTTTACAGGGAAATTTATGGGTCAGGACTCTGCAAGTGACTACTGGTGTCTGGTGTGGGCCCAGCAGTCTCCTGGCCTGTGATATTTGACCTGATACTCAATAGTGTCAGAACTACACTGCCATGAGATGTTCATTTAAGTGAATAACTTTGGTTATGAAGAACCTCAGCAATCTCTGTGCTGAGGCAAGCCAGGGTGAGCTACCATGCCTGGCTGCCAGGGTCTTCCTGATGCAAATTCGGTAATATGCAGAGAAAGAAGAGCTAACAGCAACAGGAAGGGCAAGTTCCATTGCTTCTCAGAGTAAAGGATAAGCAGCAGCTGATAAGATGCCTGCCTGGTGGAATCTTTAGGCACTCGGCCCCTCCATAAGTTCCTTCTCCACCCTCCAGCTTACCTGTTGTTGGTAGAAGTTGCTGGCACTTTGTTCAAATCGTTCATCTTTGGTTTCTACAGTTTTCCCCAATTTCTGCAGAACCTGGGATAAAAGACAGAAAGGCGTGTATGGTTACAGTCAAGTGTCTTATCTGTTGGTCTTGGGTGTAATTAAAGGTCCAGTCCCTTCTCAGCTAAATAGAATCAGGAATGTCGCATACTGCTAAGATAAACAAGGTTTTGCAAGGTCTTCTCAAACTGGGATACCCCGGGCATGTCGTGTGGGGGAGGATCTACCTGTTCATTCTCATTTATAGTCTCTCCTCTCTCTCTCTCTCTCTCTCTCTCTCTCTCTCTCTCTCTCTCTCTCTCTCTTCCTGGAATCTCATTATTTGAACAATGTATTTGAATGTTTGGTTTGATGCTGGATTGAACCCATAGCCTCATACAACCTAAACAAACACTCTCCCACCGAATTGCATCTCCAGCCTTAAAGTGATTTGTTTGCTTGTTTGTTTTTTGAAACAGGGTTTCTCTGTGTGGCCTGGCTGCCCTGGAACTCACTGTGTAGACCAGACTGGCCTTAAACTCAGAGATCCACCTGCCTCTGCCTCCCGAGTGCTGGGATTAATGCCCATGCTGCTGCCACACCCAGCTCTTAGCCCAATTTTAAAAGGGGAATAGAAGGGGACATTGCGATAAAACAAGATTATTAGAAAACATGCCTGGCTTTTAAAGATAAAGCATGAGGCATGAAGATTTTTTTTTTATTAAGAGTCCCTCTTTTAGCCATTGTCACTGATTCCTCTTTGTGAATGAGGCTAGAGAGATGAGCAAGGGCCTCTTCTCATGAAGGCCCTATGGAAAGCCTTAAGAAACTCTGATACAATATACTTCAAGCCCAGATGGAAATGAATGGTACCCATGTCTATCTTTCATCAACTAAGAAATGAAAGCAACAACCATCCCTCCAGTTTCAGAGCTCATGGGAAACATGAAAGACCCTTGGTCTCAGAGGGCCATTCACCTGTAGACAAGTGATAAAGGGCTGAGGGGCTGGCTGGTGCAGTGCTCAGTGGGTAAAGAACCTGCCATCAAGCCCGGAAGAAGAGAATTGATTCCCAAAGCTGTCTCTGACCTCCACATGTGTGACGTGGCATACAGGCACACACACCAAATAGATAAGTAGATGGGTGAAAGCCCCATCTTGGGAGGAGCACCATCAATCCCTAGGCCCAAGGCAGGATCTTAAGTGCTGCTTTCTTCCCCTTCCTCCTCACCAACCCCCACTGTGCCACCTCTGGAAAACATCCTATTTTTTCTGGTCTCATTGGCACAGCCTGAGGCTGGGCATTAACTGTTTTTGTTTGTTTTTTCTAGCCTGCTGCAAGAAGTGTTGAAGAGCCACTTCATTACCCCCAATAGAATTCTTCATTCATTGGCTCCCCTTTTATTTGACATTCACGATGTGTCTACTGGGCACCACTGGTAGCTCTAGTCCCTACTGCTGTGATCCTTCTGGAAGCTTCAGCTCCCATGTTCCTCTCGCAGGCTTTCCTATGCAACTGTTTTATTGTTTTTGGTTTGTTTTAAGGTTCCTGAATAAGCCTCACTATTAACTGTTATAGACTTCATTCCCTTCCTGGAATATCCTAATGACTTCTCTACTTTGTCTGCTGTGCAAGTATAAAACAAATCTAAATAAATAAATAAACACCAGTTCAAACCTTTCGCTCACTAATCTCTATCTGCTTTATCCTGTTAATCAAGTTTATCACTCACTCCTAAGTGCACTACACTAGGTACTTGCATCATTTTCCATTATTATTTAATTTTTTTGCATCCATCATCTCTGTTTCCTTCTAAATCGCCACTCCTTGGATACTTATTCTGCCTTTTTCTATAGCTCAGAATCCAGCAAGAGGCCATGTAGTCACTTTAGTAGAAGGAGGTGAACCTGATTCGGGGGTAGGGCATGGCTGGGCCTCGATGTGGGGTTTTGCTAGACAGAAAGTATAAATACAGAGTGGGAAGGGTTCCTGACCAATAACTGAGTGAGCAAATCTGGGTGTGCAACTTCATGAAGCCTTCTGGAGGGTGTGGCTCACTGAGGGTGTGTTCTGAGGAGCGGCAGGGAATGAAATTAGATAGGCTGACTGGGATCTCCTTTTGAAGGAACTTGAATCACAAAGCCGTGTGCCTAGGCCTGTTCAGAAGGCTCTGTGTGGACACTCTGACCTGAGTCTGCAGTCTGTGCCTAGGCCTGTTCAGAAGGCTCTGTGTGGACACTCTGACCTGAGTCTGCAGTCTGTGCCTAGGCCTGTTCAGAAGGCTCTGTGTGGACACTCTGACCTGAGTCTGCAGTCTGTGCCTAGGCCTGTTCAGAAGGCTCTGTGTGGACACTCTGACCTGAGTCTGCAGTCTGTAGAAAGAAGAGTTGGTCAATGCCCCTCACATCGCATGCTCTCTCTGTGGTGACCAAGATCAAGGCTTCTGCAGCCACACAGGAACTCATACCTTGACCTTTCTATTTTAACTTTTTGAGACAGGGTGTCACTATGTAGCCTTGGCTGTCCCAGAATTTGCTATGTAGATTAAGCTGGCCTCAAACTCAGAGATCTGAACTCATAGAGATCTGCCTGTCTCCTTCCAGAGTGCTGGGATTAAAGGCATTTGCCCCCATGTCAGTTTAGCTGGGTCTAGTTTTGTTTCCTTGCCTATAAATGGCAGGTGTTTCCTTTCTTCTTCAGTCACATCTGTCTTTGTTGGTCTCTAACTCCACCTCACTCATTACCCCTCCCTAGATGTGCAGTCCCCATCCTCCCAGGCTCCACCCTTCCCCCTCCCCAACAACAAATACCATGGTTCTTCCCCCAGAAAGTTGCAAAACCACCTTGTTGGTGGTAAGCACAGTTCTTACTTCCTTTTCTCTACTCCTCCCTTCCTTTGCCCACTTTCTTAGGTGGGGGTGGAAAGCAAGAAACTCGATTTAGAGTCAATGCAGAAGACAACTAAAGGCTCAAAGCAATATCGCTTCATGGAGTATGAAGGCTGAGAATCTTACCACCAATTTTTTTTTTTTAAAGACTACAGCATACACCTTTAATCCCAGCACTTGGGAGGCAGAGACAGGTGGGGATTTCTGAGTTTGAAGCCAGCCTAGTCAATAGAGAGAGTTCCAGGACAGCCAGGGCTACACAGAGAAACTCTGTCTCAAAAAACCAAAACAAAACAAAAAAAGGCTATACAGCACCTGGTATTCCCAGGTGGTCTCCCATCCAAGTATTAACCAAGACCGACTCTGCTTAGCTTATTAGTTCAGATGGGATTGGGTGTGTTCAGGGTGGTATGGCCATAGACCTACCATTAACTCTTAAATAGAAAGGTGAAAGAGATAACTGGAAATATTTATCATGCCTCTGGGCCTGAAGTCACTTGTTGCCATAGCAACAGGTGTCTGTGTTGGGTCACATACCACTAGAGTTGTTCTTAGACCCTTGAAGGAACAAGATGTGCATATATGCTGCTGAAAGAATATATTTGTGTGTGTCTGTTTCAGTGTTTGAGACAGAGTCTTACTTTGTAGCCCAGGCTAGCCTCAAACTAACAGTGACCCTCCGGTGTCAGCTTGTTGAGAGCTGGAGTACAGGTATATGCCACTATAGCTGGCTAAATTCTACTTTATGGTCAATTCCTAATGAAAGCTCACAATACCAGTTCCTGAAGTCCTGCCTTGAGAATTCTGCCATAGTTAGTCTAGCCAGGCACTGACAAGTTAGAATTCAGATACTCAGAGAGAAGTGAACCTGAAAAGAGGGTGACACTTCATGACTGTGGGTAGAATATGTTCCCAGGTCACCTGCCCTATTCTTCTAACTTTTCTATAAAGTAGAATGGGAGAGAGGGATACACCTCTAAGAATCCACAGCCTACTTATTTGATGTCACAGTCCCTTTACCAGGAACCCCACCCCCGCCAGCTCCCCCCTCCCCGTATTTTAGTTAATGCTGACAGTTGGGGTAATGTGAGTGGGAACCAGACACTAAAAGATAATGTGCAGTGTTAGCAGGCCTTTGTCTTGGGTGTAATGCTTCTAATGTAGTTATGAGGAAAGTTTGCAGACACACACTAGCTGGAGGCTCTGAGAGCCCTTTGTGTGTTCTTCTGGGCTTTTCTCCCACCACTCTCTTGCTCCAGCTACAATTCTCACTATTCTGCCTAAAGTGATTTGCAGGCTCGGATCATGCCCACGCTAGCCTTCCCGAGCTGGCTGGCACTCTCACATTTATCATCGGAGGAACTACTGGCCACCCACAGTTCCCATTTTAAATTCAACCACTACAAGAAAACCTTCCACCCAATCTTTTTGCCTTCCAAGTTCCCACAGATGTGCATATCTTAGGCAAACAAGTAGACTCTAAGCTTCCGGCAGCCCCCTGAACAAAAGAATCTTTTGCAAATATTTGACAAATTAAACTCTTGGGGATATAGTTGAATAAATGTTAACAGAGACAAGAACAACATAGGAGTGGTTTTAAAAAATGTCCCTGCTCAGGGGAGAATGGAGCAGTCTGCCAGAGAGAAATCACAGACAGGGAAGCAGTTGATTCAATGTGAGGATGTATCATACTGTAAAAATACAGCTCATGCTGCGTTCGGTGGGAACCGGAAAACAGAACCAGAAGGATGTTTTATTCTATTGTGTGTAACAGTCAGCAGGTCTTTTTCCTGCTTCCCAGGAGCATGAACCCATGTAAAAGTACTTCCCCTTCAATCAGCTCCTTCAGAGAAAAGCTCTGCAGGGACTGGGGATGCACAGATGGCAGGAGCCATCAGGAATATGGCAAGGAGCCATCAGACTTTGCAGCAACAGCCCTTAGTGGTTGAGCCACCTCGACAGTCCACTGGAACATTCTCTCTCCTCATCTTGCTTTCAGGAACTTGGACTCTGGCTCTCCCATCCAGGCCATTCCTCCTTTAAGTGCAGTGTCTGCCTGGGCCAGCCCTGAACTCACAAACTCTCATTCGAAGGTAAAGTCTATCTTGTGAGTTCCTCAGAGTACACTTTGTATCTCTTTCCCTATCTTGTCAGGGTTCTGGACAGAAAGAACAGTGTGCTACCTGAATGACTGGTTCTACTTAGGAAATACCTGATTCTCAAGTTCAGAGTTACCTCCCATTTTCAACTTGATCTTAGTATATAGAGTTTCACGGAGAACATCAATCTTCTCATTTTATAGATGAGAGACTTGAAGCCAAGAACAGAACATTATTTCCGGAACGTTTTGGGATCTAGGCTTAAAGGAAACAAAAAACTCTAAACCCAAAGGTATCATGTTGACAACAGGCCAGAGGAAGACAGGCAAAAGTAACTGATGCAGCCAGTGGGCATTAATTTGAAATTCTTTCTCTTTTGTGGTACCCAGGATTCTGCTCAGTTGTTAAGTGTTCATAACACTGAGCCATATTTTCCAGCTCTTAATATATCAGGTTGTTTTGGTTTTGTCTTTTGGGTTTTTTGCTTTGCATGACGTAGCTTTCTCTAGGTGAGCTCCCTGTCCCCCTATTTATAACTAGAGCCTCCCATAAACGCTGTGCTCAGATCTATCAGATATCTAGTTAGACAGCCTCCAGAGAGGCAAAGTTATGGCAAGTGAAGTAACTAAGGTTGACCACACAACAACTTTATTTTTGTCTTATCTTTCACATGACCTCAAAAGATGGACACATATAGAGCCCCTCTCTTCCCTTGTAGCCATTTAACACCAAGAACTACATCTAAAGCTACAAATCTTTCCATTGTTATGAAAGTTATTTATTTAACGGCTTCAAAGATCATGACCCTTCTCTTTAAGCTTATGCTTCTCCTCCACACCACCTTCTCTACTAGAGGGTTGGTAGGTGGTGGCTAAGTAAAGAACACACTCCAGATGGCAAATTAAAATACCTTTAAAAGGTGTAGGGAAAGGGCTGGGATGGAACTCAATTGGCAGAGTGTTTGGTTTGCTCACAAGAAACTCTGGGTTCAACCCCAGCATCTAAAAGACGTGTTGGTACATGCCCACAATCCCAGTATTCAGAAGCTAGAGGGAGGCAGGGAGATTGGAAGTTCAAAGTCAAAGTGAGTTTGGGGGTAGAAGAAACTATCTCAAGAAAAGAAGAAAAAATACTGCAGAGTGCTGATAATGGTGGCTCACACCTATGACCCCCAACTTTAAAGACAGGCTGCAGGATGAGCATCATGAATTCAAGACCAGCCTGGGCTACAATTTAAGACTCTTTCTCAAAAAAACAAACATGAAGAGTGTCCCCATAATCTTTCTTTTCTTTTTCTTTCTTTCTTTTTTTTTTTTTTTTGAGACAGGCTTTCTCCATGCCCTTGAACTCACTCTGTAGAAGACCAGGCTGACCCTGAACTCACAGAGATCTGCCTGCCTCTGCCTCTCTAATGCTGGGTTTAAAGGTCTGTAAACCACACCCAGTTGTCTCCATAATCTGAATGGCTGGGTAGGTTATAGGTGGCAGTTTAATAATAGGTGGCAGTTTAAGGAAGGACACACATCACCATCAAGGCAGAAGGAAAGGCGTAAGAAGCAGGGACTGACTGGCTACCGTGCACAGTTCCTCTTCACTCCAACACAGAATCCTTTATAGCTCAGGCTGGTCTTGAACTCAGTATATAGCCTAGGATGCCATGCATTTTCTATCCCTGCCTACTGGCTCCCTTTATACTAGTCTAAACGACACTCAGGTATGAAGACAACTGCGTAGATTAACTCAGTGAATTCTCAGATCAAATGAAGTGGGGCGGCTCGCTGGCACCACGGCTGCGGTCACTTACTCTGGGGTCAAGAACCCCCCAGGTAATTCATCATCTGTGAAACACCCTCCTTGCTAGGACAAAACCTGTGACATAGGTGGCCATCGCCATTTGTTCCTTCCTGTCGGCTTTTCTGCGTCAGGCTGAGGGTTGCAGAAAGCTCCTGAGGAACGAACAGCTGTCTCCTCAGCTGCTCGCTTCTCTCCCACATCCGCCAGTTTTCATGGACACCCACGCCCTGCTCAGTTTCTGGGCAACAGGACCCTTCCTCCTCAGCCCAGGCCTGGGACCCTCGGTGAGGCCCGGCTGCCTACCTTCTCCTGGGCCCTGCTGAACTTCTTCTGCACCTGCTTGGCGAAGAGGCCAGCGGCTCCACCCGCCTTGCCCTCAGCCATCCTGCTGGCTGCAGGGGCGCTGCCTGGTCCTGTGGTTTCTACAGGTCCCTGAGAGGAAGTGCGGCCTCCCAGCATGCCTCTCGGCCGGCCAGAGGGCGGGCCTTCACACCCTGCCTGAGGCCTGCTAGGCCTGGACACTCCCAAGGTCAGCCTGTGAAAACCACTACTGGGGCAGTCACTGTCCAGCTCCCGGGAGGACCACTGGGGCACACCACTGTCCACTTCCCTGGGAGGACCACTGGGACTCCACCATTCAGTTCCCTGGGAGGACCACTGGGACTCCACCATTCAGTTCCCTGAGAGGACCACTGGGGCACACCACTGTCCAGTTCCCTGGGAGGACCACTAGGACTCCAACATTCAGTTCCCTGGGAGGACCACTGGGACTCCACCATTCAGTTCCCTGAGAGGACCACTGGGGCACACCACTGTCCAGTTCCCTGGGAGGACCACTGGGACCCCACCATTCAGTTCCCTGGGAGGACCACTGGGGCACACCACTGTCTATCTCAAGTGCTTCCCCAGGCAACAGGCTGGCGTCCACCGGGGCATTTGGAGCTGAGAGGGCAGATGGGCTTTGTGAGGAAGTTGACCAAGAAGGGATTGTTCACGGTGGACTTTGGTGGGTGCACAGACCGGCTTGTTGGAAACGCTAGCCCTGCAGTGGGGAAAGAATGGCCCCACTGAACAGGGTCTTCAAATGTAGACCACTGGTTCCCAAAGCTGAACAGCGCTAGAAAACAACTTAAATGAGGATACAAAAAAAAGATTGAGTTCCACTCAGTGAGGACGTCTAGTGGACCAGAAACCACCTATGGGCCGTGTGGGTATTGTTGCTGGAGGCTCTAAACCTGGACATTGAAGGGGCAGAGTGCAGAAAGTGTGCAGAATCCAGATCTGGGTCTGAAAGGAAGACTGGAAAGAGAGACGGGGTCATCAGGAAAGGGGAAGTCATTAATGAAGGATTGAGGAGGAGCTAGCTGGTGGTGGCTCACACCTTTTTTAATCCCAGCACTTGGGAGGCAGAGGCAGGCGGATCTCTGTGAATTTGAGGCCAGCCTGATCTACAAAGCAAGTTCCAGGACAGCCAGGGCTACACAGAGGGATCCTGCCTAGATAGATAGATAGATAGATAGATAGATAGACAGACAGACAGACAGACAAATATGTGCTGTGAAGCAGAGTATGGGAGAAGCCTGAACTGGGCAATGGTGAGCAAGCCTTTCTAGTCAAAGCACAGCATATTAGGCAGACACAGAATGGGAATTTAGACACAGATTATGCAAATTGGGGTGGGGTTACAGAAGTTACAACTATAGTTTCTCTAGGGAATAGGTCTTCCAATGAAGCTTCATTGGGAAATCATTTATTCCAGAATCTCAGAGAGCTAGTAAAATTACCTCAAGGAAAGGAAGACCTCACAATCGACTTCTGTGGAATGCAGAGGGAAGCTGGAGGCCTGCCAAAAGTTGCCTGCCGTTGTTTTCCATTTCTTTCAGCCAAACACTGCACTCAAGGTCATCAGTGCACCAGGCATTGCAGGACATTGGGAAGCCAATCATGAAAGGCCATCCCGGTCTTAGTGCAGAGGTAGACTGGCAATCATGATTATCCGGTAATGTGCTTGACTCATTTATAGAGATGGATACAAAGTTTTCAAGCAATAGGTGGTTAGGGAATGGATGTTAGTTTTGGTGATGGCCTGAAAATGGAAGGACTTCATATAGAATAGGAAAGAGCAGAGAAATATGGAGATTATTGGTCCTGCTGAGATGCTGGGAGAAGATAGAAGGTGTCATTAGCCAAGGGTGTCATTAGCAGAAACCTAATACCCAAATCACTCCCAGGAAGTCACAGAACTTCAGCAGAGTGTCCTGACTATTATCTTCTAGGAAACTCTTTTCTTTCTCAGTGTTTGCTTGAGACAGAGCCTGTAGCCCATGCTGCCTAGAACTCAGACACTCCTGCTTTAGCCTTCCAAGTGCTGGGATTACAGGTGTGCACTACTCTGCCTAAGAAGCTCTCTGATACAATTGGCTAATTGGTGCTAAGGGGAAGAGTAAAACCAAGCTTGGAAATGCCTAAGGGTTGTGTAAACAAGCATGTCACAAAATAGCATGGGCTGATTTAAGGGATATGGGCCCTTGTTGGGTTAACTACCTTTGACAGAAAACAACAACAAAATAAAACAAAAAACCACAAAAATGATTTCTCATAACAGGAAAGACTGATAATTTTCCTAGATTACCCCAACTCCTCTGTGTTGGAATTAGGACAGGAACTCAGACATCCTGATTCTAGTCCAGCCTCTTATAGTAAATACAGTGATGTAGAGGTTACGGTGTACACAGTGATGTAGAGGTTACGGTGTACACAGTGATGTAGAGGTTACGGTGTACACAGTGATGTAGAGGTTATGGTGTACACAGTGATGTAGAGGTTACGGTGTACACAGTGACGTAGGGGTTACGGTGTACACAGTGATGTAGAGGTTATGGTATACACAGTGACGTAGGGGTTACGGTGTACACAGTGATGTAGGGGTTATGGTATACACAGTGACGCAGGGGTTACATTGTACACAGTGATGTAGGGGTTACGGTGTACACAGTGATGTAGGGGTTACGGTATACACAGTGACACAGGGGTTACGGTGTACACAGTGACGCAGAGGTTACGGTGTACACAGTGACGCAGGGGTTACGGTGTACACAGTGATGTAGAGGTTATGGTATACACAGTGACGCAGGGGTTACGGTGTACACAGTGATGTAGGGGTTACGGTGTACACAGTGACGTAGGGGTTACAGTGTACACAGTGACGTAGGGGTTAACGGTGTACACAGTGACGTAGGGGGTTACGGTGTACACAGTGATGTAGAGGTTACGGTGTACACAGTGATGTAGAGGTTACGGTGTACACAGTGATGTAGACACTCTGAAAATACAGTAGTGAAGTAAAAAAGAAAAAGAAAGTGAAGGGGACACAGAGGGAAAGAAGCCCCTTACTTCAGAATCTGATTGGAAGTCAGAAACTTCAACATGGCTTACAAAATCAAAATGGTCAGGGCTGGAGAGACATCTCATTGGTTAAGAACATACTGCTCTTGCAGAGGACCTGAGTTCAGTTCCCAGTACCCAGGTTGGTTTAGAGCCCACTGAACCCCTGGTTCAGAGTGATATGATGCCTCTGATGCATGTGCACAGACCCCCCCCAACATTCACATATTTAAAGACAAGTAAATCTAGACAATGGTGATAGCAAACTATGAGCTGGGCATTAATAAGAGCACTATGTAGGCAGGGGAAGGTAGCTTTCTGGGAGTTTGAGTCTAGCTTGGTCTACCTAAGGAGTTCCAGGCCAGACAGGGCTATATAGTGAGACCCTATGTCAGAGAGAGAGAGGAAAAATAAACTAGAACATAGAACAAATAATTACATTAAGCAATCTTGGATTTATTATTTAGGACCAGATTGTGACCCTGACTTTAACTGGTTTAGAATTCTCATCCCTCAACCTCAGAAATGCACTCATTAAACTACCTTACAATTTCATTTACAATATGAAATTTTTTCACATTAGAAAAATAAATAATTCAGTTCCTATATTTTTAGCTTAAGTTTTAATGTTCAAGCTGTGTTTACTTCTTTAAAGATTTGTTTTATTTTTATATGGATGTCTGTTTGAGTGCAGTGCCCAAGAGGCCAGAAGAGGGTGTTGGATCCTGTGGTGCTGGAGTTATAGGGGATTGTGAGCTGCCATGTGGGTGCTGTGAACTGAACCTGGGTCCTTTGGGAGAACAGCAGGTGCTCCTAACTGCTGAGCCATCTCTCCAACCCGACTTTGTTTAACCTTTAAATCTTGTTGTAAATTACATCTTTTAAACAATATATCTTAGAAAGCCATACAATTGCTATATATTATATAAATATGTAGTTTGGCCATTATAAGGACATGTAAGTGTGTCTTGATAGGCCCACCCACATTTGGATGGGTATGTCTTCTTCATACGTGTGTGTCTCGTCTAAATCTAAGGTCATAAACACGTGACTCCCTCATCTCTATTTAATAAACAAAGTCTGTTTCACTCTAGTGCATCCTGAAACTGTTTCCTTGCATAGGCAAGGATCCTGCTTTAGAATGGGGACTGTGGTCTGCTAGTGACAGTGCTGGTGACAGGCTGGCTGGCAGGAGGATCTGCCTCAGCCAGTTCCCCCTGTAGTACTGTCTACTCCCCCAGTCCTCCTGTCTGCTCTTTAGTGATTACTGTGAAGAGCTGCTTCTCATCTGCCAAAACTTCTTTCAGTTCCCCCTTTGTTTCTCCTAGGTTGCTCTTCACACCCTGTGCCCTGACCAGGACAGAGCAGAGTTGTCAGCTCCCCAGTTGTGTGTGGTTTACAGAGCCCAAGATCCGGTTGCCTATTTTAGTCCCTGCCTTAGAGTGCTGATTCATGCTTAACTCCAGCCTTAAATGGTTGTCTCTTCCTTTCTGGCCTCCCCCTTCCTCTCACCCTTTCCTTTCTTTCTTTAGTATCTTTTCTTCTCCCTCCCCTTCTTATTCTGTTGCAGCTCCCTTGGTCCGCTGGCATCTGACCTCTCTAGGGCGTCCTGAAGCTCCTGTCATGCAGAAGTTTGGAGTTAGCACTTGTTCCAAATGCAGGGCAAAGGCAAGAACCAGGACACAGATGTGAAATTCATCTTAAGTTCTACAACTGGATTTCCTGTAGGGTGCTTAATTATAAATGCAAACACACAATATGATAATACATTCAGTTTTATTTGCCTTTCTGTATCTGGTCCAATAGTCTCAGAATTGTTTCTCATTACCCTCCCCGCTTTGCCCCAGTGCTGGAGACCTAACCCAAGGCTTCTTGCATGCTAGACAAACTCTCTAAGGCTGAGATAGACCACCAGCACTCTTCTGCCCCCGTTGCAGTATTGCAGACGAAATCAGGGTCTGGAACATGTTAAACGAGTGCTCTGCCACTGAGTAATAACCCCAGCCCTATCTCTTTCTTGTTGACTTCAAGCCTTATTGCAGAGCTAAGAACCATCTTGGGAAGGCCAATGGACTCAGGAAAATGTTCAATTGGAGGCTATGACCTGAAGGAAAAAATAGTTATGTTCTCAGTCAGTAACCACTGCCTGATTACTTTTTTATTTCCTGGGAGCTTCTACTTGAATTTGGCAGTGCACTGGGGTTATGGGGTGATCACAGAAAGTAGGTTTCATATGTGACAAGACACCTCAATGTTAGCCACAAACCCAAGATGGGGAGGACAGATCTTAAAATGGCTGTGAGCCAAGATTCACGGAGCAAGGCTCCAGAATGTGTTTGATGGCTAGAAGGCACAGTGACATGTGTGACTCCATGACTAGAACAGCTAGGCAGTGTCATCTGGTAAGACTAGCCTTTCACAAGTGAAAATTAGGAAGAGCTTAAGAGAGAGGTGGGCACCTGGAGTACAGGTTTTCCGGAGGCCCTCTCTTGGCTTTTATTCAGATTAGCAATGTATGTGCTTGAATCAGATTATAATAAACCAAAAACAGCATGGTGAGGTGTGTGAAGGGGGCCTCTGCCTGACTGAGAAGCTCCTGTGGAGGGGGGAATGGAGTTGAGACAACGGCTTCCCCAGCCTGGGTTTTCCTGCCTAACCCAGCCAGTGCCTCGATCGCCAGGGAATTTCAACCCATCATTTTCAGGAACTCACGTTATTCATCCAGGAGATGTAAGCAGAGACTCGTGTGAAAACTGTGGGCTTCTTGGAGACATTACAGCCTAGACTGGACACAAAGCTGGTCACTCCATGGACAGCATACTGGCCATTCACCAAGCAGTGCAGAGGACCTCCAGAGTCACCCTGTCAGAAGAGCAACAGAATTCTAAAACTGTAGCTCACCTCCTTCCCACTACAGCAACACCCTTACCCTACACACACACACACACACACACACACACACACACACACACTTTTTTAAAAAAAACAGTAATTAGAATTTAAAGTTCTATGCACCATTGTGGACAGGAAAGATAACAATAAGACGTCAACCCCAAAAGTGAGAGGTTGAAAGTAATGCTGGAGCCATAACCGAGGCAGGACATGAATGAGTGCTGCAGTGGCTTGGGGGTGGGGGGTGAAGGATGCGCATTTGGAAAGGAAGGAGAGACTTCCTCTGTGTGGATGCAAAGGAAGGAGAGCTTGGATTTGGAGGTGGGAATGTGGGCGGCTGCAGTCTTGGATCTCTGCTGCTCTTGCCCAAGGTTGTCAGAGGACAACTTTCGGGACTTGGTTCTCTCCCTCCACATGGGTTCTGAGGATTGAACTCAGGTTACCAGGTTTGCTGAGCCAGCTTGCAGGCAGGCTAGACCACTTGCTGCTGTTTGCTCAGGTGGGGCTAGACATGGACCCCGTGGCTTCACACAGGCTAAGCCCACACTTTCGTCATTTTTCCTTTCCTCCCTCCTCCCTCCCAACCCCTCTCTTTCTTTAGACAGGGCTTTGAGGGAACTGGGGAGATGATCCAGTTAAGGACATTTGTTGCTCTTGAAAGGAATCCCAGTTCTGTTCCCTGTTTCCATCACCCATGTGGTGGCTTTCAACTGTCTCTAACTCTGGTTCCAGGGAATCTGCCCTTCTCTGGCCTCCCACGGTGTCCATGCATACATTTACTTTTCATTTTTAATTATGTCTCTGTGGAGGCCAGAGAGAGTCTGACCCCTGGATTTGGAATTATAGGCCAGTGTAGCTTGTAAGCCACCTGAGAGAGGTGCTGGAACTGAACCCTGAGTCTTTGGAGGAGCAAGAAACAAACACTCTTATTGGCTGAGCCATTTCTCTAGCCCCAAAATATGTGTGTGTGTGTGTGTGTGTGTGTGTGTGTGTTTATAAATGTATACTAATATATTTAAGCTATGGAGGCAGATTTCAAAAGATTAGCTGACCTGGATGTGGTGGCACACACCTGTAATCCTCGAATCTAGGAATCTGTGAGTTCCAGACCAGTTTGAGCTACATAGAGTCCCTGACCAAAAAAAAAAAAAAAAAAAAAAAAGATTAGCTGAAAGTGGCGCCCTCTGGAGTAAGGGAATGGTATTAATACAATGAATGGCTGTTCTGTTGTTTTCTACTATTCATTATTAAGCCTCATAGTCTCATTTGCCAACACAAGTAATACATTTAGTATCAATAAAATTTAAAAAGAAAAGGAGGTGGGGAGATACCTGTTTGTAAGGTGGTTAAAGCAAACACGAAGGCATGAATTTGATACTCAGAATCCAAATTTTTCAAAAAAGCCCCTTGTAGTCTCCATGCAGGGGAGGTGGAGGCAGGCAGATCCTAGGTCATTTTGTGAATTATGGGGTATTACAAGACCTTGTCTCAAAAATAAAGGTAGACAGTGCCTGAAGAATGACACTAAAGGCTGTTCTCTGCCCCAACCCCTGACACATACACACACAAAAAGAACAACTAGGGAAAGTGACCAAAAAATTCAAACGAGCTAATTCTTCAAAGAGCTCACTATAACTCCAACTACTTAGGGAAATACGTTTTCAGATGATTTTACTCATACACACACAAAACAAAAACAAAAACATAAAACAAGTCTCTCCTACTCATACCCTAACAAATTAAGGGGAGGAAGGTTAAGATTTGTGTTATGTGTGTGCATATTTTGCCTGTGTGTATATGTCTGTGCACCCTGTGCATGCCTGGTGCCCACAGAGGTCAGAAAAGGATGTCAGATCCCTTGGAACTGAAGACAGGGGAGGTTGATCTTCCAGGAGAGTCATTTCTCCACCCATCCCCACCACTTTTTGAGAATATTTCAGAACTAATGGAGTGGCAGAGAATTTACTGTGTATAGTACCATCACTTTATGCTAACTGACACAAGAAGAGAGTGGGCTGGACAAGATGGAGGGTGTGGCTGGAGATTAAGTCAGAAGTTCTGAGAAACTTCGAAGGAACACGGTGTGGATGTGTAAACTGAAACCAGAGAGAGCTATGAATCCTCGGAGGAGAAAGGGACCCACTTAGAACTCTGAAAACCTCACAGTCCTCCTTTCTGGGGAATCCCCAGTAAGAAAGGACCCAGAGACACATTTGTTACGAAGACTTATCAGTCTGGGGCAATAAAATATTCTACTTCTTCTTCAGAACTGAAGGCCTTTTGGGAGAGCAGAGATGTGTGAATTAGTTCAGGAAGGTTGCATTTGAGGGATGAGAGGAGACCTAGAAGAGGCTGTAATGTGCTTTATTAGTCTGTCTGTCTGTCTGTTTGCCTGTCTGTCTCTTTTCACATATTACTACCATTATTATTTATATTATTTGTTTTAATTTTAAGGCAGGGTCTTACTATGTACCCCTGGCTGGCCTTGAACCCTGAGGTCCATCTGTCTCTGCCTCCTGAGTGCTGGGATTAAAGGCATGTGCCACCACACCGGACATCAAAGTGTTTAAGTGTTAACAGTGAAAATTGGAAAAACAATGGCTACTTTTCTCCTTGTAGTTCTTTGGGTTCACAGAATCCTTTGACCCTTCTGTCCTGTTGTAACTGTCCTGTTGCCAGCCTCCTGTGAACTTCTCTCCCTCTTCCACGAAGCAGGGACCATGCAATTAAAACCACATTCCTGTGCTGTTGCCAAGGGCAGCTAGAAAACCCAGCCGGGAATTAATCTACCTCCCTCTAACTAGGTCTATGAGAAAGAGTAAGTGAAGCCTACGCCAGCCTCACTTCCTTAAAAGCTAATCCTTTCCCCATTCACTGTAATTATCCCAGGCATGTGCAGCCTTTGCACCTTCATTTTCTATAGTCAAGTTGACTTCCTAGTTTATGAGTAACCAGAAGCAGTAAAACGGAACACCTGCCTGCAAACCTGTTCACATTCAGGAACACTTGCCATCCCCTACTCTCTTACCCCCCCCCCCATCCCAGTTAAAGCCGGCTTTACCTGGCCTCTGGCTTCCATCCTTCCCTTCTTTACTGGGATCATGGGCCATCTGCCATCCTTCTCTCTCTCTAGGACACTTTCCTCTCTGCCCATTATCACCTTCAATGTCTTCCCCATTGAAAGATTCATCTTTTCATGACTTCTGTCTCTGATGCTACCAGACTGTGTCTGTCCCTCTCCCTTATCCAAGGTTCTTGAAGAGTGACCAGCATTCCCTAAAGACTGTCTTTTTATCCTTACCTGTCAACTGTGCTTCTGCCCTCACCATCTACAGATACTCTTGTGACAAACAGTTGCCGAATGAGCCACTTACAGCTCTCAGCCATGGCAGCTCCAGATACGGGATGACCTGTCAGTCTGCCCCTAGTTCTAGAAGAAGGAGCAAGCCACCGCCACACCTTACCTCAGCATCTCAGCAGACAGGAGCACAAGTTACTGTTTCTCTCTGCTTATATCCTGTTTCCACCCAGCTAGTTCACTTCCCGTCTGTCTGGACAGACCTCCGGACCGCTATGGTTAGCTAGTGAAAGCTCCATTCTCTGACCTTCAGACAGACTTTATTTGTACAAGATAGATATCACCACATGGGTGTGTTCTCTATCCTCTACCCACCCTTTCTGTTCTTCTTTTTTTTTTTTTTACTCCTTGGTTTTTCGAGACAGGGTTTCTCTGTGGCTCTGGAGCCTGTCCTGGAACTCGATCTGTAGGCCAGACTGGTCTCAAACTCACAAAGATCTGCCTGCCTCTGCCTCCAGAGTACTGGGATTAAAGGCACGAGCCACCACTGCCTGGTAAGCCTTTCTGTTCTTATAGGTCTTTCCCAACCCACTAATCTCTTTATAATTCTGCAACTTTTCCTTGGATTGAGGGAATCACACATTTGTTCCCAAGGGCATCTCACCTGGCTTTCTCTTCCAAGCTCCATCTTTTTCTTTTTTTGATTTATTCATTTATGTGTTTTATGTATATGAGTACTCTACTTGCATGTATGCCTGCAGGACAGAGGAGTGCATTGGATCCCACTATAGATGACTATAAGCCAAGCTCCACTTTTTTCTGTTTTCAAGATGGCATCTCATGTATCTCAAGCAGACCTTGAACTGGCGTTGTAGCCCAAGATAATCTTGGTGTTCTTGAAGGGACCAGACCCTCACTCAGCCCCTGCTTCAGCAGTCATGACAGGCTACAGAAAAGACACATAGACCTCTGACACAAGGAAACCAGATTCTTGGCCTCCCAGAGCCTAGGGCCAAAACTGAACACAAAGAAACTCCAGACCCATCCTAGCCTCCTAGGTACTTGGTTCCTGGGAACTGTTTGGCCACAAAAGAAACTTCAGGTGAGACCAAAAGCTCCCCTGTAGTCTCCAGGATACAGTTCTGAAAACCATTGGTATCTATGTACAACAGGCCCACATGCAAGTAACAAGACAAAGCCATAAAAACCACAGAATGTTCCCTGTCAGCACTGATCAATGAAAATAATTGGTACACAAGTATTTCATGCCCAAATATGACTTTGAGAAATTCTCCTAATTGTTCCCAAAAGTCAATCAATCAGAAACAAACTCGTACCTACTGATGTAATCCTGTAACTTTTGTCTTTAAAACCTAGCAGTAGACAGGAAACTTCACTCCCTCTGGAGGCTGCTGCCTCATCTTGCTGGATGGGGTCCCTGTCATGTTGGATGAATAATAAAACCTTGCTTTTACAGTTCAGTGGGTCTGTCTCCCTGGTCGTCTTTGGGGATCCTCACAACTTGGGCACAACAGTTCTTAGCCCCTGTCCTCTGCCTCTCCGGAGCTAGTATCATAGATTTGTACCTCCTGTTTATGTGACACTGATGGAACCCAGGACTTTTATGTTCGTGCCACTGTGCTCACAGCTGAAAGATTAACCTTTGGATTTTTTAAAACCATTTCCAAAGGTTATAACCATAGCCAATGACTCATCAGCAGGCTGGATATGGCTTTGGGGGCCCCTCTCCTGGAGGCTGCTGCCTCATCTTGCTGGATGGGGTCCCTGTCATGTTGGATGAATAATAAAACCTTGCTTTTACAGTTCAGTGGGTCTGTCTCCCTGGTCGTCTTTGGGGATCCTCACAACTTGGGCACAACAGTTCTTAGCCCCTGTCCTCTGCCTCTCCGGAGCTAGTATCATAGATTTGTACCTCCTGTTTATGTGACACTGATGGAACCCAGGACTTTATGTTCGTGCCACTGTGCTCACAGCTGAAAGATTAACCTTTGGATTTTTTAAAACCATTTCCAAAGGTTATAACCATAGCCAATGACTCATCAGCAGGCTGGATATGGCTTTGGGGGCCCCTCTCC